AGTCCTACTTGGCCTTTGCCCTATAAAGCTGGCATATCTGCCTTTCTTTGCATTCCAGACAGGGAAATAGGTTGTTGTGGTATAACATGCCTCACGTGTCTAGCACCTTAATCTTTCAGAGCATGTTGTAGTTGGGTGATATGTCCTATGAGGAAACTCCAAAATTTCAGGAACATGGAAACCCACTGGCTTACCTTAGAGTAGGGCTTTTCCGATTGAAGCTGCTTTTCTAATGCTATTTGCAGAACTAACCCCAGCCCGAAGGGTTAATCTGACTCTCCAAGTCAATATCCCCCAAACAACCAGCCAAGAGTGTGTGTTGGTTCATTTCTGTGAAATGTGTTTCCCCAGTCACCTGGGCTGGCCTGGGCTGCATTGTATCGGCCAGCAGCTGCACTGCACTCAAACTGACAGCTACATTAAACTTTGGAATTCTGAAGCAATAAAAAGTAAATTAACTCTTATTTTTTTCCTTTCCTGGTGGAGTAAGTGAATGCATGTCTGTTGGGAAGTGAGTGAGCCTTGGTTCGAAGTGCATACCTCCAACTAGTCACTTCTCGTCGGTCCCAAGCTAAGATCTGGTGTTCAAACCCCAGCCGGGGGTGTGCTTTCCTGGTGTGTGGTGTGTTGGGCCAGTGGGTCACCCTGCAACTGCTGATCCCTGCTCACTAATCACATCACAGCTGTCGAGAGACTCCTTTGCCACCATTCTGGGAGCCATAAACAAGCTTGTTGGACACAGTTTCATATTCTCTGGCTGCTTTGTGTCTGCTTGGTGAAGAGTATACCTTAAGTGGGTTATTCTGGGCTCAGAGAGCTACTCCAAAATATATCAATAAGTTGACCCAGAGCTGGTAAGTAGGGTGTGGTCCTGAGCCCACAACACTCTAGAACCCAGGGTGCTTTGAGATTATCTGGTAAACCTTTGGGGAGTCATTTCCCAAGCATTTCCAAAAGATTGGGAGCTGTTTAAAGCTTCTCATCATCACTCAGATTTGAATTGGGATTCCTCAGCCCAGGCCAACCTTGAATCCTTAGGGTCCAAGGGCTGCCCTGGGGTGAAGGTTAGAAGGTGCTCCCAGTTGGGAAAAGGAACTAAAGCAGGAAAAAGCTAAGCTTTTCCCTTCTACTCAGACAGGAAACCCTGTGTTCACCATCAGAACTGGCCTCCCAGCACAGAGGCCTGAGCAGAATAAACTGGGGTGGAGTTGCCAGGTCCCCGGACTTCACCCTCTCGCAGGTGTCATTTTTGAGTTCAGGCATCTCACCTAGTTCTTCAAACCAACTCCTCCTTTTAGTATTAGTTTCTTGACACGCTCCCACACCTATACAGTCAATGAATGGCTCAGAGGTGCCTAGATTGTTGTGTTCATGCCTGTGGTGGTCAATGAGAAGAGATAAGTAATGATCTGAAATGTGAATTGCACTCAGGCAAGCCCATGGAGAAGCAGGAGAAAGCAGCAACTCAGAATTAGAGTTCAGTACATCAGTCTGAACTGACTAGGGAAGAAATGACCTTTCATTGAAGAATTTTGCGTGTTCCCTTGCTTCTACTCAGTGTAGGTAGGCCCTTGGACCACTTTGATCTATATTTCTGAGTTTGGGGTTCAGGGCACTACCTATGTCCTTTGGCACTAGTTGCTGTCTTATAAATCAGCACTGGAGTAGGAACTCTCATCTGCCTTATTTTTGCTGTGAGTCTTAAGATTTTGGCACAAGGTGGGTGGTAATGGGCAAAAGGCAGATGTGGGCAGGGGTTCCTAGTAGTGGCCAGAATCACTGGGAGGAGTCAGTTTCGGTTTATCTGAGCCGTAGGGGACAGGAGAGCATGGTAATGAGAACCACATGGTACCACATATTTCTTCATCTTGGATCCAAGATGGTAGGGGCGGGAGGGTGAGAGGGATGTGGGGCCTCCCACTATGGCAGCCATGGGTAATTTTCTGCCACCTCTCTCCAGCTGGTGGTGCTGCTGCCCACTGCCCAGCCCCCATCTATATCCTGCAGCAGCCTTGACCTGCACAGCACCAATTAAGGCCCCCAAGCCAAGAATTCAGCTGGGAGACTTTTCACCTTCTTCCTTCTCACTGTCGTCTTTCCTGTTTATTTTCCAAATTGCTGCTCTGCAGCCGAGCAGTGCCTGTTGGCCAGAGCTCACCAGTGCTGTGGGATCAGACTCAGGCAGTGGGCTCAAGTGGCCAGCAGGGCACTGGGGGAGGAAGCGGGAACTGGAAGAGCCTCCCTGTGCGTCTCCCATGGGCAGCGCTAACCTCGGAGGCGGCCCTGAGCAGCCCTATCACATCCGGTGCTTGTCTCTGCAGCCGGGACCGGAGGATAAACTATCAGAGCTGTGGGGCAGTGCATCATTCCTCTTATTATTTTCTTCTCTGTGGGGCCTCCCATTATGGCAGCCATGGGTAATTTTCTGCCACCTCTCTCCAGCTGGTGGTGCTGCTGCCCACTGCCCAGCCCCCATCTATATCCTGCAGCAGCCTTGACCTGCACAGCACCAATTAAGGCCCCCAAGCCAAGAATTCAGCTGGGAGACTTTTCACCTTCTTCCTTCTCACTGTCGTCTTTCCTGTTTATTTTCCAAATTGCTGCTCTGCAGCCGAGCAGTGCCTGTTGGCCAGAGCTCACCAGTGCTGTGGGATCAGACTCAGGCAGTGGGCTCAAGTGGCCAGCAGGGCACTGGGGGAGGAAGCGGGAACTGGAAGAGCCTCCCTGTGCGTCTCCCATGGGCAGCGCTAACCTCGGAGGCGGCCCTGAGCAGCCCTATCACATCCGGTGCTTGTCTCTGCAGCCGGGACCGGAGGATAAACTATCAGAGCTGTGGGGCAGTGCATCATTCCTCTTATTATTTTCTTCTCTGCAGATGGGGTCGTGGAAAGTTCAGTTCCTTTTAACCCTCGAAGTTCTGTTTATTCTACAGCTGGTAGCCTGAATGCCGTGTTTCCCATTACATCACAAAGCGGCTCAGGCAGATCTCTGCACAGAAACGTGTTGCAACTGTTTATTTTTTTCCATATTTAAACATTTCTGACAGCCAAACCCAGCTGAGCCAAAAGATGGAGCTTTGTGAATGAGTCTGGTTGTCGGTGTCTGCAGAGGAGAGCCTTTAGAAAACTCTCATCCCTGCAGTGATTCTTCCCAAACATGTTCTTTTCCTGGGCAAAGCCTGTGAAGCGAGTTACTTCTGCAGTACACGTGTGTTGATTATGTGCCGTTGTGTGATTAATGGGGCTGTGTTCCGCCTGGTTCCCAGGACACTCTTGAAAACAAGATGTTTCATTTCATTGCCTTTTCCTAGCACGGTGATTACAGTAAATAAACCAGTGCAACCTCCTTCCACCTGGAGCCAGTCAGGGAGTTCTCATCCCTCCACTTTCTCTGCCAGCATCACCTAAGGGGCGTGTCCCTAGAATGCCCTCTTTTTTGCCCTCTCTTGAAGGTTCCTAGTCTCTAAAAAAACAAACAAACAAACAAATTGCTTAAGTCTGAGGTCCCTCCCTGGCAGGTAGGGCTCATGCTCAGAAACTCCTCTTCTCTGAGAGATCCAGAATGATCCTAATGCCTCTCTTTGCTTTTTGCCACTCCACCTCTTGAAGCTGGTCATGAAGCCTTTGTTTGTAATTCTCCTATGCATCTGACTCCTTTGGAGTAAAATTTACAATCTAGAAGGTATTACCTATTCCAGACCCCCTGTGTAGGTGCTTCTCTGGAAAAGAAAGTCAAGTTGTTGGTAGACCCAACTTGGTAGGCCCCATATGTGACACCACTAACTATACCTGGACAGACAAAAACAGAAAGAAGATTCTTGGATCTTTAGCACCACTAAAGCGGGAATCTCAACTGCAGCAGATTTTTAACAAGTGAAAGTTGTTGATAACTTGGAATTTCTTTTTTTTTTTTTTTTGATAGATTTTTGCTATAGGTCATGTGTGTTCACCAGAGAGACAGAAAGAAAGGGAGACAGCAAGAAACCACTCCCGGGCGGTGGGGGGAGGGGGGGGCGGGGGAGTTGGCCATGCCGCACTTCCTTTTTCTCTTAGGATCTTGGGCACACATGTACACTCCCCTGGCATGAACTTTAAGCCACCAGGTCCGAGACTCAAACTGCTATCTACTACATGAGAATCCAGTGATGTAACCATTATGCCATCTGCTGGTCCCTTCTACCTTCAACTGGGTAGAATCAAACTTAGCAATTTTAAGACCTGGTAATAAGTCATTAGGATGACCAGCCATTCCGGTTTGACCATGGTTAGGGGTGGGGTGGGGTTGTTGTGGAGACAGGGACTTTTTTTAACTAAAATTGGGACAGTCCCAGGCAAACAGGAATGGATCTAACTTTCTGTAGGTGAGAGAAAGGTGAGGACAGCACTGATACTGACACATCTGCTGAAATGCATGAGAGAGTTTAACCTTCCTGGGAGGACCTCCACAGACCAGGAATAAGGTTTTCATTGGGTCTGTGTGTTTTTCTTCCTGCTTATATATAGAAAAGAGATTTCTAAAGCATCGTAGGGGAAACCCACATCACTCTGTGCAGTGACTGGACCTACTGTGGCTGGAGAAGGGAAGACTTCTGCTCAGCTGTTGTCTGTGTGGCATGTATTTGACTGGACAGAAGTAGGGGAATTCTGGGAGCTGCCTCAGGCACTGGGTGTCTAGAGTGTTTGAGTAAGCGTCTCAGGCGCACTGTCTGGAAAGGTGACAGGACCTGCATTAGGCAAGTGATTCTCCAAATTCTTTTTCCTCTCTGGTTAATATTAAAAATTCCCCCTAATCAATTTAAACTCTGCATAGGTAGACATACACATACCAGATTACTGCCCTGGGCAGTTTTTCAGCCTAGCATTTTTGGTGTGATTTCCTGGCAAATGCCAGCCTAGACAACACTTCCTGCAAGTACTTCCCTGCTCACAAGTGCTGAGAATACGCTTTGTTATCTCTCTTTAGAGCTGCTCTTTTTTTTTTTTTTGCTTTATTTTTCGCAGGATTGCTGTGGATGTGTGGTCGACACTGGCTGATTTCTGTAACATATTGACTGCGGTAAATCAGTCTGAGGTGCCACTGTACAAGGACCCGGATGATGACCTCACCCTTCTTATCCTGGAAGAGGATCGGCTTCTCTCAGGCTTTGTCCCCTTGCTGGCTGCCCCTCAGGATCCCTGCTACGTGGAGAAAACCTCGGATAAGGTCAGCCCCAGGCCAACATCCCTCTCCATTCACCCCTCCTCTTAATTCTCCAGACTTTTTTATTCTTGGGAAGTTTTCTGTACAAACGGAACATGATTAAGTCATTGAGAAGGGTGTTAAGGGAAAATATCGACCTTTTAGCCGCTGACATCCAGCTCTGTGTCCTGGAAAAAAAAAAAGAAAGCCCTCTCGACTTCCTTTGGTGTGTGTGTGTGCTCGCTGGCATGTTGTATATACGATCATTTCCTCACTTGTTTAAATAGTGCAGCTTGTGTTGGCAGTGCTCTCACTCAGCTCCAAATGGTTTGCATCATGCTTAAAGCACCCTCCTTCCTCCCCCCTTCCTCCTTCCCCCAGCCACAAAACTCTGCACTAGGAAAACAGCCAGGGCTTTTTCCCTTCTCTAAGGAGGAGAGTGATAAATAGGTGACTAGAGAGAAGCAGACACCATGTGTTAACTTACAAAAAAAGCTTTTAGGAATATGAAACATTCCCCGCTGCCTGGTTTCTATTTTCCTTCCTCTGAGGACTGTGTTTTAACCTGAACTTTCTTTTCTTTTTTTTTTTTTTTTTGGTCTGTCTGTTTATAGAAAACAAAGCCCATTCCCTGTTGCGCCGATGGGGACTGTGGAGCTCTTAGTCTCTGCTTAACAGTTGGGTCTTCAGCCAGGTGGAGAGTAGGGCAGTGTGGTCTGCTTCTTGTTTCCCATGTAGCAGTTACTAGACAGGGAAGTAGCAGCCACAGGCCTAGGGAGCAGAGCCTCCTGTGCTCAAGTAGGAGTACCCTGTGACTGACTGCTCTGCAGAGTTGTTAGGGTCACATCCCCTAGAGCTTTTGGAAAGAAGTCCCACAAAAAGCTTCTCAGAAGGAAGTCTTTTGACCTAGATGAAGTATATACGAGGGACAAAGTTAGGTGTTTAAAAAGGAAAAAAGTAAGCAAAAAGTAAATTTCAGACTCAGACTGCATATATGATCTATTTTGTAATGAATATAATTTTTTTTAAAATATAGGATCTTGCCATTACAGTCCTCCCACCTCAACTAGAAAACTGGGGTTGTAGACATGCACAACCATGCCCAGTTTTTTTCCACACAGTGTCTTGCTTTGTTGCCCATGCCATCCTTGAGCTCAGGATCCCCCGCCTCAGTCTCCCCAAGTTACTGGGATTACAGGTGCACATCACTGTGCACCCAGCCTTTAGGTTGGACCAGATATCAAACCTGGACTTCCCACGAGGTCTCAGCCTGCAGAGCACAGCCTTGTAGCATGGAGCACTACCACAGTTGGTCCTTGAATATCAAATGCTTTAAATTTGCCCTCAGTATAAAAGAGTATTTGTTCCTTATAGTAGATCTGGAAAACAGGTGAAGAAAAAGAAGAAAAAGAGAGATCATTACCCATAATACCTCTTCCCAGAGATAACATCACTGTTATTTTGCTAATAACATATCATTGTATTTAACTTCCAGTATATTTATATATTTATATACACACACATACATGCTTTAAAAAAAACCAGTGGACCAGCAGATGGTGTAATAGTTATGTCACTAGACTCCCACATAGTTGTCTGTGGCTCGAGTCCTGGACCCAGTAGCTTAAAATTCATGCTGGGCACGTGTGCATACCCACCCAATATCCTGAGAGGAGACTAAAGGAGAAGGAATTTTGGCATGACCCCCCGCCCCCAAGGATGATTTCTCACTTTTTGTTTCTCTGTCTCTCCAGCAAGCACATGCACCGTATGCCAAAAATCCCTCTTAAAAAAACAAAGGAGAATTTTTATTGGGTCTTTGGAAAAGTCATGACACATATTTACATAGGAAAACAGAAAAGTATGTCATGACTTTTCCAGTGATTCAATATTATACATACTATTTGTAATCTGCTTTTTTGGTTACTGTTTTAAATATAGTCTTATATGAAACTGCCAGAGTATGTATGTGCTCACTAGAGAGAGAGAGAGAGAGACAAAGCACCCACCCATGGTGTTTAGTCATACTTCAGTCCTCTCTCCTTCATTTCTGCCTCTGGCTGGGATTTTGGACACACACAAACACATACACACACATACACACACACACGTCTGGCATATTTTTCAAGCTGCTGGGGCTGGGATTTAAACTGTGGTCGGCCATGTGGGATCTGACTCCCTTAAACACTGCACTACTCTGGGGCTGGCCCTGGAATTTTTTTTTTTAAGAGGTTTTCTCTATAGGCCACATGCAGTCGCCAGAAAGAGAGAGACAGAGAGACAGGAAGCAAGAAATCACCCCCTGGGGGATGGCCATGCCGCAATCCCTTCTCCTCCATTCTCTTCTTTGGATCTTGGGCATGCACACACACGCGCCCAGCATGAGTTTAAGCCATTGGGTCCAGAACTTGAACTGGAGTCGACTACATGGGAGTCCAGCGACATAGCTATTACGCCAACTGCTGGTCCCCTTGGGATAATTTTTAATGATCAATTAGTATTCTTTTGTATGTGACTTTTCTTTTTTTGAGTGAGTTTTTTTTGCTATAGGGAGCGTGCATTTGCCAGAAAGAGACAGAAAGTGAGAAATCAACCCCCAGGGGGATGGCCATGCCGCAATCCCTTCTCCTCCATTCTCCTCTTGGGATCTTGGACATGCACGCACACATGTGTGGCATGAGTTTGCCCCCAGGTCCAGGACTTGAACCACAGTCGACTACATGGGAGTCCAGCAACATAGCCATTATGCCAACTGTTGGTCCCTGTGTGAAGATTTTTTAACCAATTTTGCTTTCTTAGAAAAATCAAGGGAATGTTCTCATTTTCCTCCACTATTATAAACAATGAATTGATGCCTTATAACAGAATTTGAGCGTATATTCCCTTTGGTTAAATTTCTGTAAGTAAATAAAGGTTCTAGACACTCACATACCAAAACTCCATACTTTTTGGATGCATTTAATAGCTAATGGATCTTGGGAAGGACTCTCCTTCCCAAGAGGAATACTCATTTTATGCCTTTCCAACAAAAACTTGGAGTGAAATTCTGCCCTTTTAGTCTCCAAAGGGGATAATAACGAATTTGTAATATGTGAGACTGAGGACAGCTAACAAGTTGTTCACTTTGTTGAGTTAGCAGAGAAACTACAGAACTATGGCTTAAGCCAGAGGATTTTAGTACCCTTCTTTCATGATTACAGAGTGTATTGAGGGATCAGCAGATGGTGTGGTGAACTCCCACATGGCTGACCACAGTTCGAATTCCAGACCTGACAGCTTGAAAATTACGCCAGATCTGGCGCATACATTGCCCAGAATCCTGAGAGGGGAATGGAAGAGAAGGGATTGTGGCATGGCCGTCCCCCCCTTTCCCTCTGTTGCTATCTGTCTGTCTTTCTCTCTCTGGCAAGTACACATGTCCTGTGACAAAAGCCTAAACAACAAAAACAAAGGCAAACAAGGTGGCCTTGATTCCAGAGAGTGCTTTTGGGAATTGGCTATTGAGTTACCTGACAAGAGAAGAGCCTTATCCAGCTTAAGACTGCCCAAGCCCCATCTTCATCTGCTCATCAGTTCTCCAGTTTTAGTGTCCTATATCAAGTGTATGAACTGGCTGAGAAAAACACAGAGCCAGTAGTCTAACCCTCAGCCTGTGATAGTGATTCACAGGCTATCTTGGAGGCAGTTGCAGCTCACTGAGACTAAAGTAGGTCTCTGCTTCGAGGATGGAAATAGGTATGTTGAACATAACATCTCCCAATTCAAACTTCCCACTCCTAAATCCAGCCTTCCCTATCGTGGAAAATGGCAGCTTTGATTATTTAGGTTGCTCATATAAGAAATTTTTTGGCTATTCATGGCTCTTTTGTGTCACATGTTTAAACATAACCCGTCAGCAATCCATATCTTCTTTTTTTTTTATTTCTTTTTTTTTTGAGAGGTTTTTGCTATAGGTCGCGTGCGCTCGCCAGAAAGACAGAGAGAGACATAGAGACAGAAAGTGAGAAGTCACTCCCCAGGGGGGATGGTCACACCACAATCCCTTCTCCTCTCGGGATCGTGGGCACGCATGCACACGCGCCCGGCGTGAGTTCTAAGCCACTGGGTCTGGGACACGAACCGCGGTCAACTACGTGGGAGTCCAGCGACATAGCCATTACGCTAACTGCTGGTTCCCAGCAATCCATATCTTCTTTACCTTCAGAATACATGCAGATACTATTCTCTTACCGCTACACCCTATTTGAGCCATTCAAATGACTTCTACCCTACTTCTCGGGTCCTCCCTACTCCTACTTCCCAGTCTGTTTTCAGCACAGCAACTATTGGGTTGTTGAAAAAGTCATGCCTTTTTTTTCTATGCAAAAATGTGGTGTGACTTTTCAGACCAATAGAATTAGTAAATTATCAGTAATACCATGTAACTTCTCTGTTTAAAACCTCCTGATGGCTTCTCCTCTCACTTAAGGTAAAAAACAAAGTCTTAACAACAGCCTACAGTGCTCTTCTCTGTGATCTGACCTCTCCCCTTTCCTGCCTCTTGGACTTCAGCTCTTACTGCTCTCCTATCCTGTATGCTATGGTCACATTGACATCCTCGCTGTTCTCCAAGAAACCAAGGACTTATACCTAAGGGGCTTTGCAGTTGCTCTTCTCTAAACCTGGCGTGTTCTTTTGCCAGACACCTCTGTGACTCTCAGCCATTCTAAGTGTCACCTTGTTAGAAAGGTCTTCCCTGGTCACCCCCATGTCAGTTGTTAACCACCGTTTGTTGTTGTTGTTGTTGTTGTTTTAATTTTCCTTTATTATCCTCCGTGGCAGGGAAAAATAATATCTAATATCAGTCACAGTGAAGAATGATGATAAACTCATATGGGTCATCTCCATGGCTGACCTAGAATATTAGTATAAATGTGTCAGAGGGAATCTTTAGGAACTCTTGAACTTTTAGAAATCTGAAAAATACATTTTCACCAGCTTCTAGTACTCACTACTGAGAAATGCGAAATATCTCAAAGATTTGC